CGCTGTCAACAGCCTGAATGGGAATCATTTCTTGTTATTTTGTTACATCCACAATGTTCTGTGTGTGAGGTTTACAATGTCAGAACACCTGCATGAGACAGGGTGTTAATTACAATCTGCCAGAATGACTCACCACATTCAGATTTCTCCAACACCGTTAAAAATGATCAAATACGGAACATATCAGCGTGCGCAGGCCAGAGTGCTGAAGCTCGGCTATCGCGTCATACCCGTGTCACAACCCGTGCACGCGCATTGGGTCCACAGCGCGCGTGTGAACGGGACTCGCGCGCGTGTGAACGGGACTCGCGAGCGAAAATATACATGGCAGCGCGCGTGTGAACGGGACTCGCGCGCGTGTGAACGGGACTCGCGAGCGAAAATATACATGGCGAGAGGTCATTTGTGCACTGAGAGGGAGCAAACTGTGTCTGTGAGTGCACAAGGATGTGCACAAGTGACAAACCTGCGTGCGCGCGTTGTCAACGAGCACACGGCAGAGGAAAACGTGCGCGCGCGGCAGCCTCTGTGCGCGCTCGGCAGCCTCTCTGCGCGCTCGGTTTCTGACTCCTGCTCGCTCGGCTGTAAGGGCTTTTGGCACTCTGGAGGCGTGGCCTGTGGCAGATCTTGTCTGTCCTCTGATTGGTTAGTTCACCCCGCACTTTACCCTCTATCTATATAAAAAAGTCTGATGTTCAGTTGTTGCTGGCATAGCTCAGCTGGGAGAGCGGGTGACTCTCGCCCCGGAGGACCCAGGTTCGAGTCCGGGCAAGGAAAATGTAGTAGACGTCATGTTAATTTTTCTTAATTTCAGGTATTTTACAGTTGTGACCGTTCAACTGTCATTAAACGTCCGAATGTTTGCTGGGCAGTGTTTTAAAAAGTGCACATAAGCTAGATGGTTTTAACCATATAAAATTACATTTTTTGTGATACTGGAAAAATACATACTGAAATAAAACTACTGATTGAAAACTTTATGACTGTGGTTGTACAATATATGACTCACTAATACACTGCAAACTCCCTTAGAGTGGGGCTTCCAGAGAGAGAGAGAGAGAGAGAAAAGTTCTTGCCTCATTAATGAATTGTTTATTTTTTTCAGTATTTAATTGACAAATTATCCTTTCAAATAATTAATTGATGAGTTACATAATTGTCCATTTCATAAAGAAACTGCATATCAAGCTTTCATTCAGATGACCTTCAACAGTGCTGCACCCTGCTGAGGGACATCCGAGTAAAACCTTGAGATGGCCATTTTCTGTTCACTAACTTGCTTTAGTAAATCCTTACTTTTGTTAAATAAATCAGATGTTGAACCCCCACTCCTCTGTTTGGTCTCCTTTCTTATTACAGCCCACCACTTCCAGTCTGGGTTGTAACAATCTGCAGACAGATTTCTGAGTATCTCCTCCTTTACACAGATCCTCACTGAGCCATGTACTGTGAACAAATAGTTTCTCCATGATATTATCCAGCAAGGTCCCGTTTTTGTCAAAACAAGGGTGAGGTAATGAAAAAATAGAAATATTTCATTAAATTAACATTTAAATTATTTATATGCATCATTAAAATAAAAAAAAAAACATGTTTTGAAATATATAAAGTGCACCAAACTTGACTCAGTCCATTCAACAATTCTAAATGGACAATTATGTAACTCATCAATTAATTATTTGAAAGGATAATTTGTCAAATAAATACTGAAAAAAATAAACAATTCATTAATGAGGCAAGAACTTCTCTCTCTCTCTCTCTCTCTCTCTCTCTCTCTCTCTCTCTCTCTCTCTCTCTCTCTCTCTCTCTCTCTCTCTCTCTCTCTCTCTCTCTCTCTCTCTCTCTCTCTCTCTCTGGAAGCCCCACTCTAAGGGAGTTTGCAGTGTATTAGTGAGTCATATATTGTACAACCACAGTCATAAAGTTTTCAATCAGTAGTTTTATTTCAGTATGTATTTTTCCAGTATCACAAAAAATGTAATTTTATATGGTTAAAACCATCTAGCTTATGTGCACTTTTTAAAACACTGCCCAGCAAACATTCGGACGTTTAATGACAGTTGAACGGTCACAACTGTAAAATACCTGAAATTAAGAAAAATTAACATGACGTCTACTACATTTTCCTTGCCCGGACTCAAACCTGGATCCTCCGGGGCAAGAGTCACCCGCTCTCCCAGCTGAGCTATGCCAGCAACTACTGAACATCAGACTTTTTTATATAGATAGAGGGTAAAGTGCGGGGTGAACTAACCAATCAGAGGACAGACAAGATCTGCCACAGGCCACGCCTCCAGAGTGCCAAAAGCCCTTACAGCCGAGCGAGCAGGAGTCAGAAACCGAGCGCGCAGAGAGGCTGCCGAGCGCGCACAGAGGCTGCCGCGCGCGCACGTTTTCCTCTGCCGTGTGCTTGTTGACAACGCGCGCACGCAGGTTTGTCACTTGTGCACATCCTTGTGCGCTCACAGACACAGTTTGCTCCCTCTCAGTGCACAAATGACCTCTCGCCATGTATATTTTCGCTCGCGAGTCCCGTTCACACGTGCGCGAGTCCCGTTCACACGCGCGCTGCCATGTATATTTGCGCTCGCGAGTCCCGTTCACACGCGCGCTGTGGACCCAATGCGCGTGCACGGGTTGTGGCACGCTTTAAACGCCATACTCGGCGCATTGTTATTATGAAGCTAGGGCATATGCGGAGGACACGCGCGCGCGACGGAACATATCGGCGTGCGCAGGCCAGAGTGCTGAAGCTCGGCACATTGTTATTATGAAGCTATGGCACATGTGGAGGACACGCGCGCGCGCAAAAATATACTTGTTTTCAATTACATTTATTGTGCCCACTTACTTTTTCTTTGGCCCACCCACAAATGAGTTTCTACACTAATGGTGACATATGACAGACTTCTCTGAGCTCCGCAGCCATTACACTTTTCATCTCGCGCACCCCCTAGCGGCAGCTCGCGCACCCCCAGGGGTGCGCGCACCACACTTTGGGAATCCCTGGGTTAAGCTAAAACAGATGTACCCAAATAAAAAATGTCACAAATCTGCATCAAACCTGGTATCTCAAGGACTGGAAACCTTGTTCTATTGTTGCAACTCCAACCTCCACACCCTAGATGTCACTGGTGTTTATGTTCCATATTACACCTTCAAATCTAAAATATTTGGGTTTGTGATTTACCAGCCCAAATGACTACCCTTCCACCACTGTGCTGTACGGTGCTTGGATGTGTTTGTGACAAAATGCTGAGCTAGGTTTCCACAAAACTAGGTTAACAAAGCCAAACAACCCCTTGTTTTGTGGTTTGCTTATTTCCAACTTTTCAAACCTAACCTGTGAACGCCCCTCTTTTTTTACGGAATTTATTTTTTTCTCCTGGGAAGAAAGATAAATGAGGACATTCTAATCCTGGTGTCCCAACTGTAACACCAACATGCTAGGAGAACCTAGCATGATATTTCTATTTTATCCACATTTCTCATTGCATTTAAACAGAGTGGCTTTGTTGTTAACCTTTCAGGTCACTCAGACATGGAAAGACTGGCAGCTGCCCTGAGTGTGTTCTACTTATAAATAATTGTTCCCAGTATAGAATGATGGATGCCACTTTCTTTAGAAATTACCTTTTAACCACTTCTAGCAGCAGTTACTTTTTGTTGCTTTCCATCTTGGAACTTGTTGACTGCAAAGTGATGTGTTTATAAAAGTATAAAAGTGGTTACAAAACTAATGACCAGTTAATTAGGTACATTTGAATAGCAGCCCCATTTTTACTTTCTTTATTCCCACTGATCAGGTCAGACTGTGTGGATTTTCAGGCACATAATTTTTATTCTGGCCCAGTTTTTGAAAAATAAATACATGGCATATATACCTTATTTAGAAGCTTATTAGAACCAGATCATTTTAATTTCATGAGATATAAATTGCAAGAACTGAACGTTTTTAGAAATGTTTTCTTGATTGATACCGTAGTATTTGCTTTTATTAAATTGTGTGTGATGAACACATTTAATTAGAAAATAAGGTTCTGTTGTCATGGATCCAGATTTCTGACTTGATTCCCCCCTTCCAAAAATTTATGGACTTGTCAGATTATCACACTTGCTGTGAAATATTTTTTTCAGCTTTCCCGCCATGTGTGGTGTGTTACAAGCACTCTGGTCTGCTTGGAAGAATGTCGGAACTGCTCCAGTTAAAAATCCAAGCTATCAAATGTGTTGGATTGTCTCACTCCGATTTCAAGGACTAATGAATGAGCAGCCGAAGTAATGTTACGTGTATCAGATAGCGAGGTGACAGAAGCGTGCAGCACTCAGCTCCTCTGATATGTTTCTTTATTCAGAAGTCCTGCTTGAGGTTTTGTGAGGCTGCAGACTGCACATTGTAGAATGAAAGCTAACATATATATATTTTTTATTTCCATGTGTGTGTACTCGTTTAGAAGAATGTCTGGCGATTAAAAAATACTGCTGTGTGAACTGAGCCCAAAGCAAATGCTGCCTGGTCGCTCATATTGTGTCAGATTTTTAAACTAGCGTGAACTAGGTGATTTTTCTTCTTACATTGAGAAATGACAGAGTTAGAGATGTTTGGGTTAAAAATGGGAAGTAACGTATATGCTGTCTCATACCACATCGGGTGATCTTGCATACAGTGTACATTTTAAGACATTCTCAGGTCTCAGGTGTCAAACATAAGACCATAGAGAAAATGCCTCCGGCTTCATAAAAAAATTAAATAATAATACATTAGATGTCTGAATAAACAGGGTCAGTCAAAACGGTCTCAGAAACATCAGACAAAAAGTCATTAGGGAAAACAGCTTCAGGAAAAAAGGTATCAAACCAAAAGCCTAACACACACACACACACACACACATACATTTCTGCCTTTTAGCTTTGGGTAATAAATAAAACAGAAAGAAAACACTGAATAGTTTTTGATCATCCTAAGCAAAAGAATATTTAGTTATTTGTAACATATTTACCTTCTACCGATAAGGAACTGTCCCAGATCACCGGCCAATATCCGGTAGGTCACCTGACCATTCTGACCAGCATCTGGGTCGTCTGCTGTAAGCTGGGAAAACACACACACACACACACACACACACACACACACACACACACACACACACACACACACACACACACACACACACACACACAGAGGCATTTATGAAAGTTGGGTATTGTGCTCACACTTTACCTTGAGTTAGTAACCCATGAACGTGTTTGCTGATACCTGTAACACGGTTACTCCAGGTGTCATGTCAGTGAACAGTTCAACACTATAAGAGACATTTGAAAAAGTTGGAGTATTGTCATTGGCATCCACCACGGTTATGGTCACAGCAACGGGAGCACTCTCCTGGACGCCGTCTGAGGCACAAAGCTGCAAAGGACAAAAGACAAAGGGAAAATAATCATGATATGAAAGAAGAAAGCCAAACTACTGTTTTCTCCCTATATCTGATTACTCTTTGCTTGGTTATTTGTTTGTGTTGTTGATGCGGCGAGGATCTCCAGAGACTCATCTAATCTTTATTATTTTGCAAACTTATACAAGCTCACACACAACATGTCAGTGGGTTGAAAAATCTGTGTATAATAAGCAAAAGAAAAGAACAAAACTCACCGACAAGTGCACAGATTGTTTAAGACTCTCAATACAGCTCTATGCTTTAGTTATAAGACCCAGATTCAGTTCTTTTCATCACAGGAGAAAAAGTTACAGTTTTCTTTGGTCTTTGTTTAAATTGTCTCCCTGACAGTCAAAGCCATCTGTAATTTTAGTCTACTAAATTAAAACAATCCACTGCTTTCTGATAGAGACATTTCTTCAAACAAGTCCACACTAGTAATCATAAGACAAAAATCAAGCACTCAAAGCTAATCAACGTGTCAGAGATGGATGATAAACGCTTGTTTTGAAGTCCTCGTTGCTGATTTAAAGTTTCAACCCATCCGTGACAAAAATCCTTTTCTGACCTTTGCCGCTTCTTCTTCAGTCACGCCGGTCTTAATTTAACAACAACACAAATAGTTTTACAAAGCCTAAACAGCAAATAAGTTTCTCCTCTGACACTAATCTTGTTCACCAACTCATCTACCAAGAAGCTGAAGAAGTGCTTTGAAATGAAAAGACCCTTCATCTTGCCCAGTGCTCCCTCTCTGGGTCTAATTTCTCCTCCAAGGCTTTCATTATGATTACCGTATACCTCCGCCTTTAAGTCAATACACCAGACCTTTTGCGTCTCCATCTTTAACATCCAAATTGCTGAATGCACACACTCAAGGACACACGGAGTCACATATTATATGCTTCTCTCTCTCTCTCTCTCTCTCTCTCTCTCTCTCTCTCTCTCTCTCTCTCTCTCTCTCTCTCTCTCTCTCTCTCTCTCTCACACACACACACACACACACACACACACACACACACACACACACACACACACACACACACACACACAGCCTTGGCTGAACTTGGCAGCTAACAGATATGAGGCTACAAAGCTTTGCATCATATGATGAAACATGTGAATTGACATTCTGAGCTTGGCAGAGGGCAATGTGCAATGTCAATAAGAGGCAGTTTAGTTGGACTGCACTGAGATAAGATTGAATGTATGATAGAGAGAAAAGTGGGTGAAAACAAGGAAAGCGAACAAAGGGTGAAAGAAAAAGTCAGTGATGTGGAAGATACGAGTCTGCCAAACACTTTTGGAGATAACGATATAAAATATGCACTCGGCCTGTCAATGTTTCTGACCTTTAATCCATATTCAAAAAGTCGTAATTTCACTTTAACAGACGTTTTCTGACAAGTTGATTAACAGACCCTAGCACGGCAGGTCTGGTTTTGTGTGGAAAATGCCGGTGGTCATTAAGGTAAGACTGTGATACCTTTATTCAGGGTAAAGATTGTGAAGTAATTAAACAAAAATAACAACAATGTTCCAATAACAACCTTGTGAAGCACCTTAGGTCCACTAGTGTCATATAGTGCTGTACCTGAACGCGTTCGTGAAATTTTATTTATTTATGGTGAACATGAACTGAACTCGCTCGTATTTTGCCTGATTAATGTCAAAGTTAGCACGCTCATTCTGCCGCGTGACAACGTGTTTAGTATGGGCGTTCTCTCGTTGAACGAGCTCCGGATCTCCACAGAGCTAAAGCCTTAGCTAAAACATCCTGTTAACCATAACGTTCATAAAATGAAGACCCTGGAAATGTGCCTGCCTATGCTGTGTGGAGGACGGATGTCATGGTGTGATCCATTTCATTTGGAAAATATGCAACATTTTTTAAATGAACTTTGCCAACACTGGTAAAAAACAAAAAGAATACATTTACAAGAATAAGATGACAGTATTTCATTCTAAATTCCTTAATTCATGAATAAAAGCCTTAGCTGAAAGTCCTAAATGTACATTATAAAATCTGAAGGATGTTAAATCATAAGTTTGCAAGAGTTTAAGATAACACAGCTAAAGGTTTCTCGAAATTTCACTCCTGCTCTCAACTTTGTTGTTTAATGTCATAATTTTAAGTACAATGGCCCTGAAACGCTTCATGTCTCAGGTATAGACAAGAATACGAACCACACAAGTGAATCTGAGTCCGGCCCTTTACTTATAAATCAACTGTTTTGTATTTTGAATTCTATGTTGTAATCAGCATGTACTGGTTAGAAAGTAATCAGACTACTTCAGTCCACAGGGTAAATATGCATCTCTGACACAACTTCAGTCTTTACTCTGAACATTGTTTTGATGGTTTGATGAGCATTAATCAGCTCACTCTACTGATTTGAAGATGTATAAACTTTCTTTTTATTAGTTTTTCTATTTATGTGGGTATGGAAAACTATTGAATTGTTCTATTTGTAGAGAAAAATAGCAGAGCTGTATAGTAATATGATGCTTTTCTTCCTCTGCTCTCTACTTTCTCTCTGTTAAAGTTTTTTGTAACTTCCTGATCTCCCTTTTTATCAGTGCACCACCTTTCTTCTCAGCACACATCTCCCTGTTTTTGCATCACCATCCTTAATGTTTGGTAAAATGCCTGAGGTTAACATATCTATCTTTCATGCTCTTTTGTTTCTTCTCATCCTCTCATCAGTCAGTTTTCCACTCAGTATGTCTTCTCAGTCTCCTTTTGATACAACTTGCTTTCCAAGACCACAGCTTTTACATTTAATTTCTTACCCTTCCTAATGCACATATTTTTAATAATGTTAAAAATGCAGTACCATGAATGTGTAGGAGTCTTGTGTTTCTCTGTCAACGGGCAGCGCCAGAGTGAGATATCTGCTGATTCCATGGGCTGACACAGAGAAGACATGGGAGTAACTGTCCAAGGAGTACTTGAGGTGTGGGTCCCTGGTCTGTTAATGACAGAGAGATGGTAGAGTCATGGTTTTTATTGAATACTGTGGTAAAGAGTATAACTTAATGGGAAAATGCGAAAGGTGCTAATGCAAAACCAGCAAAATTATCATGTAAAACAAAATTTTACACACACACACACACACACACACACACACACACACACACACACACACATGCGTGTACTTTATTTTTGACTCAAAGTTTTACAACTTTCTGTCCGTGCAAGTTTCACTGTCAGTGATTGAAAGGCAATCCTCATCCAGGACCTCTGACATTACCCAAACAGAAATCTTTTCTGTGTGTGTGCATGTGTGTGTGTGTGTGTGTGTTTGAGAGAGCAAGAGAGGGAGAGAGAGGGCTCTCCTCATTCCAGATACGGCTGGCTCAGCAGGGTAGAGGGCTGATAATCTTGTCGATGTAGCTGTTGTGGATATTGAGCCATAAATAAGCACACACACACACACACACACACACACACACACACACACACACACACACACACACACACACACACACACACACACACACACACACACACACACACACAATTACAAAAGAGAAAGCATTTGCATGCGCAGACATTAATAAAAGTGAGTGACGGTGCATAAAAGCTATTAAGACTAATCATCATTGTTGTGCTCATTGGTGAAGGAAAGACCAGGGTTAGGATTATTAAATAACAGTGTGTATCAATTGTTGCAAACTCACAGTCAAACGTTAACACACACATTATCCTCCTTAAGCCTCCATCCCTGCTGGGAGGAGACTTTTAGAAAGCAACAAACCAAAGCTTGTTTTCGTCAAAATGCTTTTGCTACATCTTAAACAAACAAAGCTGTTGGGAATGCACGGGCGATAACAATATTGCAGCACTATAAATTCCTAATTATTACTGGGAGGTAATTTAAGAGGGAAAGGGTTTTACGGCCACGTTTACAGGCACTTCTGATAGGGCACTTCAAACACTGCAAACGAAGTACAAAGCTCAGGTCCAGTGGAGAGAAAAGCAGGAAAGAGGTGGACACTTGGAAATCACCTTATTTGTTTTGTCAGGGGTTTGTTAAAATGCTGTAAAATGCATTCACATAATAAAGAATTTATTTTTTTATAACCTTTACTGGGATCTTTTATCACTAAGATGAAACATGTGGCTTCCTTCTGAAACAGGAAATCCGGACCAGAGATTTTACGTTTCTGCTGCAGAAGCTAATCAGCTGTCTCTCTCATTGTAACTGATGCTTTTATTCCTCTTTAAAACTGCAGCTTTTTTGATTAATACTAGTTGCTAATTGTTTAGGTTAATTTCACCATCTTTGAGAAGGTAGCAGGTTATTGACAGGTTTTATGGACTGTTTGAATTTGTGTAATTGTTTGTTTTTGGTTCGCGGCTGGCAGCGGCCCGGACTTCCTGGATCCTATCCTCTCAGGCAAGAGTCAATCGGAGAGCACTTAAATTATGGCAGTTAATTTTTACACAGCAGTACTTCAGTGATTGCATTTAACTTGGTTTGTATATAGAAGGCTGGAAAATAGTGCAAAGCACTAAAATAGAACCCAGGCTGGATAGTCTCCAAAAAGTGACTCAGCGTCTGCAGACATCATCTAATATCCCCCTGTTGTCTTAGAATTCCCTGAGTGGATCTGAGCTGTAATCCCAGTCGATTCAAAATCTACTAAACCAGACTTTATTTCCTCTCTGAAGACGTTTTGCCTTTCATCTGAGTATCTCTCTCTCTCAACTAAAAAAAATGCACTTTTTAAACCCTAAAGAGATCTCCATTAAAACAAACATTTATGTAGTTTTCTCTATGTTTAATGCTCCTTTTTTCATCCTGGAAGAATTATGCGAAGCTCACGAAACTCGCAGCCATTTTTCCTTTCCCTGTTCTTCATGTCTGGTCAATGGCATAAATCAGGTGAGACGAACATTTGTAGTCCTCTACGTGCTTTCGCAGAAAGCAACATCTACAACCTATAAAAAAAATAAGCTTTTGTCATCAGAATGTGTTGTTAAAATTAATGGACATCACGTTAAATCCATGGCACGTGTCAAACATGATCAGAAAATAAATAACATATCGGCCCATGGACCAGAAGTAGATGGGCGTGACACAAGGCTATTTACACTGCAGGCCTTGATGCTCAATTCCGATTTTTGGACTAAATTAGATTTTTGTGGTGTGGCTCTTCACACTATGGCTACGTTCACACTGCAAGCCAAAGCGCATCAAATCAGCTTTTTTCCCCACATGCGACCCACATCTGATTTTTTTTTGTAAGTCAGAAAGCGGCAGATCCCATTTTTTCAAATGTGATCCGTGTCACTTAAATGTGTGGTGCTGATTCTGACACATATCTGATGTTTTTATGCCACATTAAATCGGTCTCCTACATCACTGAGTCAGCGGAGGTGAGCGTCTGGACATCCTGTTTTGGACGGATTTAATGTGACATGACCGTTCAGACTGCAGTTGCTTTTCAAAAACATCGAATCTGTGCCGTTCAGACTGTCATAAAAAAATCAGATATGGGTCGCATGCGGGGAAAAAAGCAGATTTGATGTGCTTTTGCCTGCAGTGTGAATGTAGCCTTAGGCTCCCTATGATTCCAGAAGGGGAGGGGAGCTATTGCCAAGGTGCTGTTCCTTAGATGAAGTCATGTTACGGACCCCAGTAATAAACATAAAATGTCTCATGGGTTGATTTTGTCTAACTCTCACATTCTTACGTTAATGGTCATATTTATAGAATGCAGCAAAAGGAGAGAAAGCGAACACAGAACTCAGGTGATACCTACAGGTGTTGAATTAGCTTTCAGCTAAACACAAAGCAAAAGCCAAAAAACACTCATTAGAGGTATAAACACCCACATACACAAACACAGACAGTGTGTATATTTAAAAATATGAATACTACATTTACAACAGAACGTGTTAATGACACAGCTTATTATTTTAAGATCTTTAACAGACAGTGCTGCTGCTGCATGCTTTCCACTTGATATTTGAGTAATATAATACTAAAACAGCCAACATGACTTTTTACCAGAGCTGAATCTGCTCATTCTCACCTTCTCAACATCATTGTCCAAAGCTGTGATGACCAATGGTGCAGACAGGTTTATGTTCATCGCTATGGTGGTCCCGACTGGTGACGCCTCACTGATGTAACCGTGGTAACTGGTCTCCAGGAAGTAGGGTGCCTGGTTGTTTTCATCCATAACTTCAATTTGAAGGTTGGCAAAAGCTGGCAGGGGGTGGCCGTTGTCCTGCTCGGCCTTAACGACAAATAGAAAATCTGTTAGTGACCAAACAGCTGCGCTGACACAACCTGCAGTTACTGAATCATTTTACCATCATGGCTGTATAAACATATATCTTGATCACTTTATCAAAAGAGGGAAGAAAAATAAAGTCTTGATTGTCCCTGGCTTTCTCGCTCCGTGTGAAGGAGATCAGATAAGTGGAAAAACTGTGTTTGGCACAAGTTAAAGGTGAAATAGCACTGTATACTTGAGTACTTTAAAAGTCTCATTGGGACTGGATTTATTTCCCTGGTGTGCATATATTTGTAATATTTCATGCTACAGCAGTAAAATTACATCTGGAAATTACTGTCTGCTATGAACTCAGTGATCCACCAACACAATTTATACCCCTTAGAGAGCAAAGAGCCTTGGTAATCTAATGGATGGAGGGAAAGTTTTCACCAATACACTAGTTTATGAAACAAAATTATTTAAAAATTAAACTTAACAGGAGAACAGAAACTCAAGGCATCTTTGTTTGAACTAAAAAGGAAACGTGAGTTTATGTTTAACCCGTTCCTGGACATCGACAATTAATACTGAATTTATTTTACAGTGAAAACAATCAGAATCTTTAAAAACATTTTTGTTATTGGTTTACTTGTATTCAATAAGTACAGTTGTGACAGAGGTCCTTTACAAGTTTCTGTTTGGGTCTTTAAACATGTGTGACTGCACTCTATCCTGAAATACTGAAAACTATGATCATCTTCTTGGTTTATTATTAGTTTTTCTTTTGTTTGTTTTTTACAGGAGTTCAGAGCTTTATTCAAAGAACCACACGTATTCAGAAGCCAGGCTAAACACAGGAGAGACCCTGGCGTCCACTTCCATGTCAAAGATGAGGACAGACTTCTCCATATATTGGACAGAGAAGACACAGCGGAACAAAAAAGATCCTCCCCTCCTTCAAAATAAAATAAATTAAAATAACAGAATTTAAAACCAAAGTTTCAAGTCTCTGATACATACAATTTTGCTTTGAAACTAGACCCCACCGTACAATAAGATCAAATTTAGCCAGAACAATACAAGCCTAAACAACCGTACATGCAAGGGGATGGGAAGTGGTTTGATAGTTAGCTTGCATAAGTGAAGATCTATTTAAATATCTGGAAATCTGCACTTTTCTTTTTATATTACAAAAGCTCCTCAGTCAAGAGACGAAACATAAAGGGAAAAAAAGTTCAACAATGTAGGCAAAGAGAATGTGCTATTTTATTGTATTATGTGCTCAGCTTCTATGCATGTAATGTAATACACTTCAGTGAGCCAGCTGATTGGCTTGATGGCTGTGCTTTTCTGAGAATGTTCTCAACTCTAAATAAAATGACCTAAAGGTCGGCAGTGAAAGCAAATGCAGAACAGTGCTTTCCAGTAGCTCCAGTGCTGCAGAGGGAAGGCAGGTAACAGTTATGGAGCCATCATTTAGCCAGCCAGTGGGCGGACGAAAGGGTCAACCATACATTGTACTTAAACATGAACTTCAGCAAAGAAAACTGTTATTGCTAAGCCACTTTAAACAATAACATGTCACTAGGTTTAACACTGACAGTATGTGAAATGTTCCTAGGAAGGTCCATGATTTGTGTTACATTTAGCTTAAATCTGACTAAATGGACAGCTTATGCTCAGCTTCACAGATGTCACTGTATTCCAAGGTATATTGGAATATATTCCAAGGTATATTGTATAAAATATATCTTGATCACTTTGTCAAAAGAGGGAAGAAAAATAAAGTCTTGATTGTCCCTGGCTTTCTTGCTCTGTGTGAGGGGGATCAGATAAGTGGAAAAACCGTGTTTGGCACAAATCAAAGGTGAAATAGCACTGCATACTTGAGTACTTTAAAAGTCTCATTGGGACTGGATTTATTTCCCTGGTGTGCATATATTTGTAATATTTCATGCTACAGCAGTAAAATTTCCGGTTTCTGGTCAGTAACAAGATGGAGCCTGTGCTTGGCTTAGCCGCAGTCACCGGCCACTTTTTCAAACTTTTCTCCACTAACCTCCTCTTTTCCACCTTGCTCCTATCTGCGATCCTTTCAGTAGTGTCCCTGCTACCATCTCCTATGATCGCCAGACTCTTTTGTCCTTCTTTCATTCACGATCACCCAAGATGCACCGAGGACGTACCTCCCTGTTTGTTTATCTGAGTGGTGCACTGGCCCGGAGCCAAATGACGATCCCAACCAGCAATGTTTATCCGGTCCCGGGAAAACGTCGGAGGAAACGAGGTAAACGAGCAGGAATCCAGGTGAAAATAAGACTTCTCTTAATGCGTGGTTTATCTAGTAAACATCGGCGTGATCTTCTAGCTTCTTGTCCTTTGTTTGGTGACTTGAGCGCCACTTCCGCATTCCCGCCAGACCGCGTTGCGCCGCTGTTTCTCGGTCCAAGTTTTTTAAGGTTGGTTTATCCTCATTCCTCAGTGGTTTCTCCTCCTGTTCCCTCCATAAGTGGTTTTTATAAACACTGTGGATCTAACTCTGCTAATTTATGTCCACTAACTCCAGCTGTTTCTGTAGTTTCTGATTCCTCCACCTCACTCAGCATGGCTCTATTAAATACCCACTCTGTGAACAATAAGTCCTTCCTGCTCAATGTTCTAATTCTCTCTAAAAACCTGGTTTTTCTGTTTCTGACTGAAGTTTGGCAGGAAACATCTGATTATTCTGGTCTGATTGAACTCTGCCCGAGTGGTTATTCTTTTCTTAGCCAGCCCCGGGTTTCTGGTCTTGGTGGAGGCCTAGCTGTTGTTTTCAGCTGCCATCTTCCACGTAGCTCTACAACCTCTGGTCACTTAGCTTCCTTTGAACTGCAGCTGATTAAAGTCGGGCGTAGGACCCGTTCTACTGTGCTGTGGTTTATTGTCCACCTGGTCCAAACGGCTCTTTCCTTCAGGAGCTTATTGACTTTCTATCCTCCATTGTGAAGCTGACCAGAATGGTGATTGTGGGTGACTTTAACATCCACGTTGATGATCCCTCTGATCACTTTGAAATGAATTTCTCCAGCCTTATGGACTTCTTCAGCTTTACCAAGCATGTTTCTGGCCCCACACACACACCAGGGGACACACTCTGGACCTTGTTTTTACCCTGAGTCTAATTGCTGACAGTGTTTGTCCTGAGGATGTTTGTATTTCAGATCACCATTGCATTTTCTTTAACTTGTCAGTTTCTGCATCCCCACCTCCTGCTTGCCGTATGGTTAGTTTTTGTTTTCTTAATGAGAGCACAGATAGAAATTTTTCTGCTGCTTTTGATTCAAATTCAAATTCAAAGATACTTTGTTAATCCCAGAGGGAAATTAGAGTGCCACCCTGTTCTTCTGATAACGACCCAGATTCCTTAACTTCTCAGTTTAACGAGCTCTGCCTCTCCATTCTGGACAACATCTGTCCTGTCAGAACCAGATCAGTTCCTGCAGTGAACCCTACTCTCTGGTTTACTGACAGCCTTCACAGCCTAAAGCGCCAATGCAGAAAAATTGAGCGCTTGTGGAAGAAAACCCATCTCCACGTCCATCTGCTGCACCTGAAGGATCTTCTGACATCCTTTAACTCTGCAGTCAGAGATGTTAGGGTTTCCTATTTTTCCAACCTGGAGTCCCAGAGCAAAGGGAACCCCAAGGTGCTGTTTAACACCATCAGCAGTATCATCTCTCCTGCCTCTCCTACAGCCTCCATCCACTCTGTTGCAGACTGTGAGAACTTTCTGTCTTTCTTTGTGGACAAAGTCAATAAGGTTAGATCTAGCATCTCTCCTTCAGCCTTATCGCTGCCTCTCCCAACTCCAACCAGGCCCATCATCCTAGATAGCTTTGCTCCTGTTTCTTTGCCCGAGTTAACTAAACTAGTTAACTCTATGAAGACCTCTGCATGCCCCCTCGACATCTTACCCTCATCTTTGTTTAAAAGTGCTTTTCAGTCCATCAGTCCCAGTGTGCTCTCCATTATTAATGCTTCTCTGATTTCTGGTCAGGTCCCTGCTTACTGTAAGAATGCTGTAATCCACCCACTTCTTAAAAAAATGAGTCTTGACCCCTCTCTCCATAGCAGCTTCAGACCCATCTCTAAACTTCCGGTCATCTCCAAGATCTTAGAAAAGGTTGTGGCTAAACAACTCACAGCTGCTCTCGATGAACATAACATCTATGATAGCTTCCAGTCAGGTTTCGTAGAGCTCATTCTACTGAAACAGCTCTTCTTAGGGTCTCTAATGACTTTCTGACTCACAGTGATGTAGGGGACTGTTCTGTTCTGGTCCTGCTGGACCTGACTGCAGCCTTTGACACTGTTGACCATCACCTGCTACTGGAGAGGCTGAGAGAGTGGGTAGGCCTATCAGGAACTGCTCTGGAGTGGTTCTCCTCTTATCTTTCTGAGCATTCCTTTTCTGTGGTCGTCTCCAAGTTTAGGTCCTCCACCATCTCCCTTACCCATGGTGTCCCACAAGGTTATTTGCTGGGGCCTCTTCTCTTCCTCCTTTATCTGCTCCCTCTTCAGCACATCATGAGCTCCTTCAAAGAAATCTCCTACCATATTTACACAGATGACATCCAACTGTACATCTCCTTTAAGCCCCATGAGATGTCTAAGCTGCAGCTGTCACACACCTGCTTAGGCTCTATTAAAACCTGGATGGCTGGGAGCTTTCTTCAGCTGAATGAAGATAAGACTGAGATCCTCATCTGTGCCCCAGACAAGCTGGTTCCCAAAGTCAGAGACACTCTTGGTCAGCTTGCTTCTCACACCAAACCTTCCGTCACAAATCTTGGTGTGACCTTTGACCCAGCTCTCACCCTGGATTCTCATGCCAGTTCTATTGTTCGCTCTTCCTTCTTCCATCTCAGGAACATTGCAAAGCTGAGTCCCATTCTGTCCCGCTCTGAACTTGAGACAATTATCCACACCTTCGCTTAGACTACTGTAACTCTCTTTTCACGTGTCTGAGCAAAACCTCCCTGAACCGTCTACAGGTGGTTCAAAATGGCTGTGCTCAGCTTCTGACCAAGTCTTCCAAACACACCCACATCACCCCGCTTCTCCTCCAGCTTCACTGGCTGCCGGTCAACTTCAGGGTTCATTTCAAGATCCTGGTTCTGGTCTATAGGGCCTTACATGGACAAGCACCATCTTTCATTGGTGATCTTCTTAGTCCCTACACCCCCAGCAGGTCCCAATCACTCCCCTATAATCTTGTGTTTCACCAATTTTGCACCTTTATTACAGATCAGTTATTTCATATCACTGCCATAAAGCTTTGGGTTAACAATTGCCTTATTTCCATGCATGAAACGATAAGCTGTGTTTGGTACTTTTTGTCATGTCTCAACTGATGTTTGTAACAAATTCACAAAACTTAAAATTATGCTTGATCATTGTCTAGCAATTTCGAGAATAGGCGACACATTCTGACAAGAAATCAGCTTTCAAATTAATTTGTGGTGTGAACTTCGAGACTAATTACTTTGAGGAGATGTAGATATTAAATCCAATGGTTCAGTTCCACAAATGTGGTGGTGCCCCGATTAATTAATATAAGATTATAAACAACTAAACAAGCTAAATCTACGCCACATTTGAAATATAGATATAAATCTATAATTATCGCTACATATATGAGAACACAACATGCCATGGGAACAATACTTGTAAAACAGCGTGTGCTTTGTCAGCTACAGAAGCACATTTATAAACAAGAAACATGAAGTCACCATCTTAAAAAAAACAGAACAGATTTTTTGTGTGATATGCATGTCAGCCACTAGATAGTGCCATAACTTTTTCTTAGACTGGCCTGCAGAGCTTCAGATGTTCTTGAAGGTTTCATTGTAAACAACTGGACTTTTCTAGTTTTCCTTGAAGCTGTGTACTACATCTCTCTCTCCCTCTCTCCCTCTCCCTCTCCCTCTCCCCCTCTCCCTCTCCCTCTCCCTCTCCCTCTCCCCCTCTCTCTCTCTCTCTCTCTCTCTCTCTCTCTCTCTCTCTCTCTCTCTCTCTCTCTCTCACACACACACACACACACACACACACACAAGTCCTTGGACCCTCCCTCTATTCAGCTCCATGTTTGTGTCGTTGGTGCTGATGATCCTAACATGCTCTGGGTCTGCTGCGGGTAATAGGACGTCCTTGATGAAGAATGTGGGTGATGGTAGTGGAGTAAGTTTTCTTACGATGTTGTGTGTGTATGTTCACTGGGGTGAGTGCCGGTGGTGGTGGGGGTTTTGTTGATGGCGTCTATGTGTGCATGGGGGTGGGGATGTGCGGTTGTTTTGTTGAGCGCGACGGGAGGCGCTGGTTAGGCTGTGTTGGTTGTTGTGACAGCAATGTGCCTTTTTTGGCGTCCAGCCTGCCTTTTTCAAGAAGAAGAAGAAGATCCTAACAGGTCACCAGCAACTCCCACCTGTCCAGCTGTTTTGGTCACATTAGCCGCACAAGCGACACCTTTTAAGCCTCTTAATACCAACCTACATTTCAGACTCAAAGAAGCTTCTTGAATGAGAGATGAAACATCGTGAAGGAAAACAAGACAATTCCAGTTGTTCCTACTAAACCTTCAAGATTGCCATGCCTTGGGCAACATCTACACAAACATACAGCTGAAGATGTTGTGTTTTGGGCATAAGAGAACACTTTTATACTACAATTAATACTACTCAAACCAAAAACTTACTGATCAGCCTGTTGGTTAGCCCTGCATGCAGCTGTGGTTCAACTTACCTTAATAACCAGATCAAATCTGTGGTAGAGCTCTCTGTCAATAGGCTTCAATAGCAGAAGTTCTGCCGTGGTCCTGTTCAGGCTGAAATATTCTGTGTAGGAAACTGGTTTCCCTAAGAAACAAAAGTAACAATAAACATGAGTAGTGACCTAAATTGGAATGTGAGAAACAGAAACAGGTACATATCAGTAATTGGGCTTAGAATTGATGTATGCTTCACAATTAATGGGGGAGAAAAAGAGAGAAGTAGAGAGAGGAACGGCCAATACTCCCCGCTCACCCATCTCAGCTGTCAACAGGTGGAGATGAGCGCTCACAGCACACATTCATATATGGTGCGTTGAATGCTGCATTGGTCAGCAGGGAAATCAAGTGTCTGTGAGAGAAGACACTGCAACAGGAACATGAGCACAATTATGTGTCTCAGATGGGCATTTCTAGGTGTGTTACTTCTTAATGGTAAGCATTGATTCGACAGGCTATCACACTTTAAGCAATGCTCTCTTCAAAGACGGCATCATTTCCTGAATATTTGCATGCTTGTTGTGTGCAGACTCTTCATCAGGAACCCCCTGACATCAGTTTGGAGGTTACTTTAGAGTAATTTTTCAAAACTGAGTGTAGTCTGACTACAAATGTTTATAACACCACAGATGTAATGAGCTGCAAACAAATGGCCTCTGGTAATGACTGTTCTGGTCAGGGTGCTTCTCCTCCCTAGAGACTGTTGAAAAACAAATAATGAGCATAAAAATAGAATTAGGTAGTGGGTCTTAAAATAGGATCTTTGAGCAAAAATAAAGCCCCTCTTGCATCACTTTGTTTTTGAATAGAAAAATTATCAGGTAATAAACATCCTTCACAGACAAAAAAAACAAAACAAAGACTTATGTTAAGCATAATTCTGCGCACACGAAGACACATAAGACCTGGATGATGGCGCTCAGTGGTTAAAGGAATCACGGAAGCGGTGTGATGCGCTCCGTCGCGCGTCTAGACGGTACAGTAGGAGGCGAGCTGCCATGGTTTGCCGCATGCTACAGGAGCGAGCTATCTAGGAGCGTACAGCGTCCCCCAGTCCCCTCCTCCTCCCCTCCCCCCAGTCCGGAACTCGACCTCACCAGTCTGAAGCAGCCACCTTGTCCGTAACAAGTCCGGACCTGTTACTAGGGGCATCGTCTGGTTTAATTACGGAAAACGTTATCCGGATGTTTGTATTCAGACACAAAGGTCTTACGGACAGAGTCCTGAACATTTCCGTTTTTCATGGCCTGTCTGAAGGGGGCTTTAGAGAACAGGAATAAACAAGATGTGGCAAAACAAAAATATGTAAATGCTTAATGCATTTAAAATGTGAAACCCAATGCTTTTGCCAAAGCACAGGGCTATTCAATTCCGAGCCTTGAGTGCCAGTGTCCAACACATTTTAGTGGTTCCCCTGCTCTAACACACTAGGATTCAATGGTTGAATCACCTGTGCTGCAGCTCATCAGGCTATGCAGAAGGCTGTTAATCACGTAGTGGCGTGAAAAACAATTTGCCCCTTCCTGATTTCTTATTCTTTTGCATGTTTGTCACACAAAATGTTTCTGATCATCAAACACATTTAACCATTAGTCAAAGATAACACAAGTAAACACAAAATGCAGTTTTGAAATGATGGTTTTTATTATTTAAGGAGAGAACAAAATCCAAACCTAGATTGCCCTGTGTGAAAAAGTAATTGCCCCCTGAACCTAATAACTGGTTGGGCCTCCCTTAGTAGCAATAACTGCAATCAAGTGTTTGCGATAATTTGCTACGAGTCTTTTACAGCGCTCTGGAGGAATTTTGGCCCACTCATCTTTTGCAGAATTGTTGTAATTCTGCTTTATTTGAGGGTTTTCTAGCATGAACCGCCTTTTTAAGGTCATGCCATAGCATCTCAATAGGATTCAGGTCAGGACTTTGACTAGGCCACTCCAAAGTCTTCATTTTGTTGTTATTCAGACATTCAGAGGTGGATTTGCTGGTGTGTTTTGGGCCATTGTCCTGCTGCAGCACCCAAGATGGCTTCAGCTTTAGTTGACGAACAGATGGCCGGACATTCTCCTCCAGGATGTTTTGGTAGACAGTAGAATTCATGGTTCCATTTATCACAGCAAGCCTTCCAGTTCCTGAAGCAGCAAAACAACCCCAGACCATCACACTTCCACCACCATATTTTACTGTTGGTATGATGCTCTTTGTCTGAAATGCTGCATCTTCTATGCCAGATGTAACGGGGCATTTGCCTTCCAAAAAGTTAAACTTTAATCTCATCAGTCCACAAGGTATTTTCCTTAAAGTCTTGGCAATCATTGAGATGTTTCTTAGCAAAATTGAGACGAGCCCTAAAGTTTTTTTTGTTTGTTTGTTTGTTTTTTTGCTTAACGGTGGTTTGCATCTTGGAAATCTGCTGTGCAGGCCATTTTTGCCCGGTCTCTTTCTTATGGTGGAGTCGTGAACACTGACCTTAACTGAGGCAAGTGAGGCTGCAGTTCTTTAGAAGTTGTCCTGGGGTCTTTTGTGACCTCTCGGATGAGTTGTCTCTGCGCTCTTGGGGTAATTTTGGTCGGCCGCCCACTCCTGGGAAGGTTCACCACTGTTCCATGTTGTTGCCATTTGTGGATAATGGCTCTCACTGTGGTTCGCTGGAGTCCCAAAGCTTTAGAAATGGCTTTATAACCTTTACCAGACTGACAGATCTCAATTATTTTGTTCTCTTTTGTTCTTGAATTTCTTTGGATCTTGGCATGATGTCTAGCTTTTGAGGTGCTTTTGGTCTACTTCTCTGGGTCAGGCAGCTCATATTTAAGTGATTTCTTGATTGAAACAGGTGTGGCAGTAATCAGGCTTGGGGGTGGCTACAGAAATTGAACTCGGGTGTGAAACACCACAGTTGGGTAATTTTTTAACAAGGGGGCAATTACTTTTTCACACAGGGCAATGTAGGTTTGGATGTTGTTCTCTCCCTAAATAATAAAAACCATCATTTCAAAACTGCATTTTGTGTTAACTTGTGTTATCGTTGACTAACGGTTAAATGTGTTTGATGACCAGAAACATTTTGTGTGACAAACATGCAAAAGAATAACAAATCAGGAAGGGGGCAAATAGTTTTTCACACCACTGTACTAATTGAAATTTGGTGTGTTAAAGCAGGGTTAACACCAAAATGTGCTGGATACCTGCTCTTGAGGTCCGGAATTGAATGGCCCATCTATAGCATCTACATAATTGAATTAAAGGCATCATTTCATGAAAAAAAAATCTTTGTTAGAGCTTTTTACCATTTTATATTGTTATTTCCTCATGAGAAATACCTCCAACCCCATTTATTGCTACATTCATGCATTTTCCTGTTTCAGCTTCAGTTTGGTTGATGTAAAGATTTTTCCTGCATCCAGGAGAAAGTAGCCAGCTTACATCACCAAAAGCCTTTCTCCTCCCTGTGAGGCTGATCTGGTCTTGGTTCTGAAATATCTGGATATTCTGTGGATATTCTGATTGATGACTTCTGCACTGGTGACAAAACTGCCATAAAAACCACTTCCTGTCTTCAAAGATGCATGTAATGGTCAGCTCAGGATAGATGCCTAAGACGACTCTTGTTTTAAAACAGATTTAGTAGTCAAGTGGTTAGAGTGCTGGGCTGGCATGCTGTTTGCACAGGCTCTCATCTCGGTCTCAGTAGCAACATTTTTCTTCCTTTTTAACTTCACTTTTATTTTAAAAAAAGATGTTTCAACCCTTAATTAGTAAACAGTTTAAATTATTAGGACTAATCTTTTTTCTTTATTTATTTTTTTTACTTACTTTATTTAGTCAGTGTGAGTCCATGTGAGGTGAGCAGAGTAAATCAACTAAAATGCTGCTTGGAAATAACCAAATTCAAAGATATTTAAAGGCACCAAGTGTTTTGTAGAAAATAGCCAATAAAACTTAAACATAAATAAAGAAAATCAGCTTCAATTGGCTAAATAAATTACTGACGACACTGGGAGTCGAGCCATCATCAGCTCATGGCAAAACAAGAAAAAAGGCAGGCACTTAAACCACTGGACTACCAAGGCGTACACAAGAACAGCTTGCTGGAGGCATGCTTTTTTTTCGGAGCAGGGGTGGGCGGAGCTTCACTAAAACAAACCTTTTCAGTTCGGGGTATAAATTCAGGCTGACAAAAATAACTCGTATTTGAGATAAATGACATCTCAATAGTGCAAAAGATAATATTTTATCACATATGGTGCCTGCCTTTGTTCTCAAAGATTTAGAATAGCATGATATGATATGGAAACACTACGTAATGTTTTGTTTTTGCTAAAGTTTAATGGCACAGACCTGAACCAACGGTACTAAAAATTAAATAGTCTCTATTTGACGATCAAGTGAATAATACAACACAAGCAAGCTGAGCTGCACAATTTTGTCTATTTTCTATTATTTCTTTGCTTTCCAACATACAATGTCTCTAGTGAATTTAAATTCTTCTGCATCTCTGCTTCTGTCCATAGAAGCAGTGATAGCAATTGTGCATAGCTTCATGTCTAAATCACTTTCAACTTAAAGTATTTAATTATAATGGAATGCATTTCATCTCTGCAATTGTCTTATATTTTATTCTTTGCTACAGTTTAATGCACTCTGCTAATTCCTTCACATTTTAATTAATTCTGGACCCAAACTTTTAAGTGGCATCATCAAAGTTCTTAGATTAGATGGATCAATTACAGTTTAGTCTCTGTGCTAAGAAGCGCTGATACATTTTAGCAGTATCACTATGCTAAATAGTGCTATTGGATAATTTTGATCCGTGGAATGGCTTAGGTCATGTCTCCATTGCTTATGTGTTCAATACAGAAATTATTCTAGAGTGTTACACAATCAGGCTAGATACAGCAACACCTATGATTTTCACATCTTGTTCACGTAAGATAAGATTTGTAATGCGGATGGATCTTGACACATTTCCACGTACTGATCCAGTTTCTATGCTTTTTCTAAATAAACCAATTTAAAACCAACCTACTGAATAATTGTCATTTTAGGAAATGCATCAGGAACTGAGTGTTATCTTCTCCTGAAAGTAAAGAACCAGGGAATTAAGGTCCGCTAGCGGGAGATGATCCAGAAAAGAAAGGAGCTTTCTACAGAAAAAAAACAAACAAACATATTTTTGCAGTTTGGTTGTCTTATTAAAAAAAAATGTTTTCTCTGATGATCCAATTGCCAACATTTAGTAAAGCCCAACCTACCGATAAGGACGGAGTATAAAATCCCTGGTCTGTCTGAGGGAGGTTGTATGTTTCTGTCCTGGTCCACAGCTTGGATAGGTGGAGTCACATTGACGGGGTTCACTTTATTCTGCAGACAAATCAAAATAGAACACTAAACAAGACTGAGAATGACTTATGAACAAAACTAACCGCAGCAAAAGGTGTGCTTTAACATGTAGTGGTACACATGTTGGGATGTAAAATGTATTTAATTTGTGGAAAAAAGGGAGCATAGCTTAGTTATAACAAACATATGTAAAAATAAATAAATAAATAAACTGCCACTTAAACAAACAGCTTTAACAATACTGTCCTAACATAGAGGACTTAAATTAAATCACCCAGAGGACTGGCAGAGGATCCCCAAATACTCAGCTTTATATGCAGCAGCAGAATTAGAGATAAAGACAAAGACTCTCTCTAAAGAAGTGACTATAAACCACGTAGTAAAGGAGTATGGGGCAAGTGATGGTAAATGGTCTGTATTTGTATAGCGCCTTCTTAGGGTTCTACAACCCCCCAAGGCACTTCACAACACAATCAGGAACTAGGAAGTTTTGGCTTGCTTTTAGCACCCCCTGTGTCCGTTTGTAGAACAAAAACCTAAACCTATCTCCTCGCTGTGGGTTAATGTTTTAAACACCTTTAACAGCTGAAACGTCTCCCAGCTTTTCTTAGTGTCTACAGGAGTATCACTAAACTAAACAAATCAGCTGTGTTCATGACCTAAAACATGCCAAAAAGATGCAGGAAGCACAGAAGCTGGCTCTTGGCATGTGGAATGTCACCTCTCTGGTGGGGAAAGACTAGATTTAGTCGGACTCACCTCGATGCATGGCTCTCTCTGGATTCAGTTTCCTTGAGAGGGGTTGGAGACTCTACCACTTTGGAGTTGCTCCCACAGAGAAGCGCCAAGCAAGGGTGGGCATAGTAGTTGCCCCCCATCTTGGTGTCTGTACGTTGGGGTTTACCCCGGTGAACGAGAGGGTAGCCTCCCTCCACCTATGTGTGGGGGTACGGGTCCTTACTGTGGGTTGTGCTTATGCACCAAACTGCAGTTCAGACTACCCACCATTTTAGGAGTCTTTGTAGGGGGTGCTACAAACAGTTGGTCTGGTCACAGTATACTCAATGATGGTTTTAGTGTGCTCTGTAATGTCTGTTCACTTACCACTGCTGGTATGGATACCAAAAAAAAAAAAAAGTATGTGCGTATGTATGTACATAGACGCACATGTGTGTGTAGATAGATATGTATGTATATATATGTATGTGTGTTTGTTACTATGTAATTATTATTGCCTGTTTACCTGTGGTAATGCAATTTATAATTAGTATATTCTGTATTCAGTTATGAAGGTTCTATTTGTTGTTTGCGAGCTGCTGTTGAGATGTTTGCATGTGCCTGGAGCTGTTGATGGGTTGTTTGGTTTGCTACGATGAGCGTAGCTGCGGGAAGCTTATTGTTTTTTTAGTTGATGAGTGAGTATAGGGGTGGGATTTAATAAGTTTTCTTCGTCCCACTCCTTTTCAGGTAATTTTTGTTTCTTTTTTTTGTGCACTTTATGTTTTATATATGTTTTTTGTTGTGCCTGAAATTAACAAATAAAATAAAAATAAAATAAAATAAAATGCTAGCCTAGTTTTGTCTACCACTTTTGTAATTGCTTTGTCTTGCATGTATAGCACTTTTAAAACACAGTGTTGCAGCTGACCAAAGTGCTTTATAAATAAACTATAAATGGAACACCATTATCAGGCATTATTTTTTTATTTATTTAATTTTTTTTACCAGGACGGTGCTGCAGTTGGACACCCTGGTACTTTGGTGCACTGCTTTTGTTTTGTTTTTGTGTGTAAATTGCATGTCTGGGTTCTCCTACTCCAGAGAAGAACTCATATGCTACAACACTATGATACTGGTGGATTTATCCTCGATTTTTGCTGCATCTGTGGCAGATTTAAACCAACTGTTAAACATGTTTAGAGCCGGGTCACAAAAACATTTTTTAAGTTTAATAGATCTAGTTTATACTCATGACAACTCTGAGGGTGGTGCATTTTTTTGTTACTCTTCTGTTTAAGTGTATAAATGCTGAAAAATCTGAATAATTAATGAGCTTCCACGTGACTTCAGATCTAGCTCCGGGGAAAGGCCTTGGCCTCACGTTAATAGATGTTCAGTCATTTCAACTCTTTGAACTTTAGTTTTGTCTCTGTGTGTGTGGATGTTAATCATGGGATTAGTCGGGCACTCTTGAAACTTTATTAGAGTATTTGTTAATTTGGATGATATTGTGTCCATTGTTCAATCTTAGGTGAAAATAATCACATCATCTGTGTACTTAAGAATATTAAAATTGGAACAAATATCCAGGAGGTCATTTATGTATAGAGCAAACAATAAAGACCCAAGGACTGAACCCTGTGGGGCACCTACAAGGCAGCTGAGGTAGGGTGACTTGATTCCATCCACCACCACACATTGTGTTCTGTTTTTCAAATATGACTTAAACATTGGACTGTGTCAACAGAAAAAAAATTAAATATAACAGTTTTTGAAGTAGCACCTGGTGGTTGATGGTGTCAAAGAAGGCCTATATAAATGACTTACAATTATGCAATACCTTGTGTTTTTGGACGGTGATACCCTTTTATCAGAAATACAAAATATGTACAACATAAAAACCACAATCTCAAAAGAAATCAACAATTGAACACTACATGTCAGCACAACTGCATGCATTTCCAAATCTTTCTGAGTCAGAGGCAGGACTTTCCACATCACTTTGCACATCAGTATGCTCCTACGCATGTAGGATACAAAATATTCAAACAGTGCACCTGTCATGCAGCACATAAAATCTACAAGCCATCAATGAGATATCGCTCCACTGTTGCTTGTCAGAGAGGAGAGGAGGGAGACACAGGCAAAGATGAACTTAGAGTGAGTAATGAGGTATGCAAATATCAAGAAGGGAGGATAATCTGCCAGGAGTCGAGGGGTAAACAGGGACCAGGAGAGGCATGTAAATGTAGCAAAAAAAAAAAAAGAAAAGGGGAATCTCGAAGAGATAGATCACAGCCAGCACAGATGTTATCACCACCATTTTTTATTACTGACAGCATTTTACACACCCCATTATGAGAGATAAAAATATATCAGAGACAACACATACAGTTAAAAACAACAAGAGTCAGTTCACAAACATATACAGCAGGTTTGGTAAACGATTGTTGATGTAAACTCACAAACGTGTGTCTAATAACAAAAGTATCATTTAGATTATTTGTTTATCACTACTCCACAAGAATTAATATTATTCATGTTTTCTTTTTCAGGCCAATGTACTTCAGGGAAGAGAACAACTATTATTCTATTATTGATATTTACCTTCAAAGTACAGTATTCATTTATTCAAACTCTCGTGTTGACTTGATGCTTATTGAAGAGAATAAAATATCAGTAGTAACAAATACAAGTAAATTAAAAAAATTGAAATCTTAGAAGGTACATTTTCTTTTCTGCCCGTGCGTGCTCTGATAAGAACGTTTCAAATTCACAACTTAAAGTGGAACACTGATTATTTCAACACCTTAAAACCCACACAGTGAATGTCATTAAAGGTTTGGTTCACTCATTTAACCAATACATTTGCAGTGGTCTCTAGTAGGAATGAATGTCTTGTAAGCCAGACTCTGGGGTGGGGTGTGTGGATGGCTTAAGCTATGTTCACACTGCAGGCAAAAGTGCATCAAATTGTATTTTTTGGCCCAAATGCAACCCATATCTGATTTTTTTATGATAGTCTGAACAGCACAGATTCAACTTTTCAAACCTGATCCATGTCACGTTCATATGTGGTACAGATTCTGATACATTTCTGAATCACTGAATCAGCGGAGGTGAGTATCGTGTGTGGATGTTCCTGAGGAGAAGCGCTGACGGAAGGGTTCAGGAGTCTGTCTGGACATCCTGTTAAATTTAGGAATTAAAAATACAGGAGGGACTGAACGGGAGCAGGAGGTGCTGCTGGAGCGAAGCGTCTCACCAGTCTCAGTCTCCATAAAGGAATGGGTTGGGGGTCTCCATGAGAGAGGGGACTCTCTGTGAACGAAATTAATGCTAGAACATTTTTGGTGAAACATAATTTGGAAAGAAGGCGGGAATAAGGAGTAAAATACTTTACAGTTTTCAAAATAGTTTCCAGCCCAAAACGGGAGAATTAACAGGTGTGATCCTGATTCTGTGGATGAACTCTCAGTGAAGGCTTTCATATGAGAGTGACTTCTTTTCTTCTGCGCATGCATGTTGGTTTGGGGCTGTAAAACGTTCACAATGGAGAGAGTTCGATGTTGCTTTTCAGTCATAATGGGAACAGCCACACACAAAAATAATCGGATTTACTCCAAAAAAAATCTGAATTCAGAGTTGAGGCTTGCAGTGTGAATGTAGCCTAAGATACGCCTGTAGAATTGATCTGGAGGAGAAAGCAGCTTCAGATGACAGGATTTGGAGTCTGATTTCCTGGTATTTGAATTTCTCACCTCTAATTGGCTCACAGCAACACAACTCTACCACTATCTACTCTATCACTCTGCTTTGCAACACTGATGTTGCCTTCTGAAATAACACAAGCCTGGAGGAGCTATGCCATGTGGTGGAATTGCTAAAGCTAACAGTTAACTTCTAATAACACAGACGTTCTCTGCTGTTTCCTGGATGCAAAACCAACAACAGCCTTCTCTGTCATGAGCAAAGATTGGTGAGTCCATGAATGTTAAGTGACAGTGAGGTATAGATCTGTTGGGATTTTCAAATCCTTGAGTTTCACCATCAATTTTATATCAGAAGCTAATGTTTAAGATATGTGTAGGAGACTTTTGTCATGGTCAAAGTGCATGAAAAACTCAGTGACTGATTATAATCAGATATTATAATAAGAAAATGTGTTTGCAATGAAACACACTTTTAAGATTTGACATGTTAAGAATTATTGTAGCCTATGCTAAGCAACAGTGGAAATAACTGGTGTGACACAGATCCAGTTTCAATATATTTTACATTTAATGATCAGGAAGAAAAAT